ACCCAATCCCCCACGCGCACGTGCGACCGATTTCAACCCCGCCCCTACTGCCCTCCCCGATCCCGCCTATCCCCCGCCTCAAGTCCGATCCCGACTCCTACCCCGACCTTTTCCCCGCAATCGAACCCGACCCTCGGCGCACTTTCCCGCCGACTTCCCAATCCCGATCCTTCCCGATCCCGACCTTTTCCCCCGCCGATTCCCCTCCCGGCCCCGCTCCATCCCGTTCCGCTATCCCGGCGCCCCTCCTCCCGATCTCCCCCTTTCCCCCACGACCCGACCCCTTCCCGCTCCGCCCCGCCCTGCCCCGCGTCTTTTTCCCGCCCATTCTTCCCCCCCGCTCCGCTCCGCCCTGCCCCGCGCCCTTTCCCGCCCGTTACCTGCTCGTTGTTCCTTTCCCCTCCCGCTCCCTGACTGTCCCTCCCCCGCCATGATTCCCCCTCTCCCTGATCCTGATCTCCACCGCCCCCTTACCCCAGCTGCACTGCGACCTTCATCCCTGCCTATCGAGCTTCCTGCACGATCTCCCCCCCCCTCTCCTCGATTACCCTCTGCCCGCGCGCACGTGAGCACCTTGGTCTGGTGGGGCCGGCCCATCCGTTTGAAGATAACGCAGGTGTCTTAAGACGAGCTCAACGAGAACAGAAATCTCGTGTGCAGCAAAAGGGCAAAAGCTCGTTTGATTTTGATTTCCAGTACGAATACGAACTGCGGGAGCGTGGCCTCTCGATCCTCTAGCGTTTCAGGACTTCAAGCTAGAGGTGTCAACGAAGTTACCACACGGATAACTGGCTCGTGGCAATCAGCATCATCATCATCGGCACTCATCATCACGGTTCTCCATCATCTATCCATGCGATCTATCCGGCGACCTCGTCGTTCCACCAGGGGAACGATCGAGAAGACCCTTTAGGGGTTAATTGAAGACCTTCCTCGACTAGGAGGAAGGACATTCATTGCTCCCGGCCGACCGGGAGCGCGGTATTGTCAATCTATCTCCCTCCCACTAATCCCCTCCCTTCCTCTCGTCGGTCTCTTTCAAAGATCTCATCTTTTCCCCCATCTCTTATCTCCTCTCCAACCTCCCTTCTCTTCCCCACCCTCCCACCTAATTGGTCGCATCACCCAAAATTTCTACTACATGTGATACGTATCCTCCCTCCTTGTGCTTGCCTAACAATGCCGTCCATTCTGCCGTTCAGAACTTCAATCTAATTTGACAGGATTAATCTTCATCTTCTTTTYCACCAACGCAGYGAACAGAATTAATTCCGRCACTTCTAWTCAAAAGTTATGCGAATTTCTTTATTTGGTCAGATTCTTTTTGTCATTTAATTTCAAAATTCAATTCCATTTCAGAAATTCGTGAAATAAATTCCGGAATTTACTAAATTTAATTCTTCTGAAGTCCAATCAATTTCGTTGTTTTCTCCCCCGTAACATTGTGAAATTCTGCGATTCTTTTCAAATTCCTTGAAAATTCTTTTGGAATTTCTTTGAAATTCACCCCAATCTTATAACACGCGGAGAAATTTTCCTGACCTGACCTAGATAATTCTGGAAATTCTCCCAACTTACTGTACTTGGATATCATTAATTCTTAATGAAATTTCACTGAAAATTCTTAATTTAGGAATTAGTTTTCTACTTCTATTTCAAAATTGCCTTTGAAAGTCTTTTAATTCCGAAAATACGTTGAGGAATTTTCCATTTTATTTCAAAATTTTCATATCATCTCATCCCTACATCTTTCATCATCTCCTCGAAATTTCGAAAATTTTTACGACTATTTTTGAAATTCTTCGAATTTTGCTTAAATTACTTCTAAAATTCTGAAATTACGTTCAAATGCTTTCGGAATTTTATTTTGAATTCGTGATCGTCTTATGCTTGCTCCTATCTMGACTCCACACTATTCTTTGAAAATTTCCTCTCATTGTCTTCCCCGAATTGGAAATTTTCCTCTTTTTCCCTCAATCCGACTTTGAGTTTCCTTGATTTAATTTTGGACGTTCGTCAGACCTCATTCATACCCGCCCTCCTATTGTAGTCCCTTACTCCTCTTTCTGCGTACCAACCTGGCTCCCCGTGATCCTCATCAGAGAGCACTTCAAAATCGCGCCCGAGACACTCGCGCCGCGAACCGACTCGCTCGCTTTGACTCACCGCCTACTACCACTGAGCCACCCACCCGTCCCAGTTCTCACTCCCCACAGTCTCCACCCCCTGACATCATGCACACGATGGGATCTGCGAGCCCCGCCCGCTCCACCAGCAAAGGGCTTGCGTTATTTGCCCAAGAGCAGACTTCCGACTTAGTGGCCACCCAGATGGCAACCAGCTCGGGCCCGACTTCCCAGTCAGACCCCATATTGGACATACTCCAACGTATCGAGGCTAGATTCACGGCCCTCCAGACCGATGTCTCATCCTTGTCGGCCCGTGTGTGCCAGTTGGAGCCCTCTACCAGCGCATCCACCTCCACGCTATCCGCACCTGCGCCTATGGTAGCCCCCTCTTCTTCATTAGCTGGAATTATCTACACGCTTATTGCCTCTACGGGCTACATGTCCTCATCCCAGTCACACCCTTCATCTGCAGCCACCTCATCCTCCACAATCTCCTCATCGGGACCCATGGCGTGGTGTTCGGCGACCTCCTCAACTCTTGTATCCACAACACCTCTCTCACCACCCCCCACTTCTTTACCCCCAACCCCCATGACACTCCGGACACAGGTCATCCAGCTCCAAAACGAACTCGCCTCGGCCAAGGACCAAATCCGCCGACTCCAGGGAGGTCAACCCCTGCTCGCGACACAGCCTGTGGCCCCCTTCATCCAGCGACAACATCAGACACAGGCTGCCGCGATGCACTTCACCCTCCCACCATCGGCCACCACTATGTGTCAGGGACCTTTATCCCAACTCCCCGTTCTCTCTAGTACTCGGATTGGTACCAGCACTTCTTCTGTTCTCTTGTCACAATCGGCTCTTCCCCTCCCTCCTCACTATCAGCCGCCGACATATGTCCCACAGTTTCGACCGGATCGCCTTCCACAGTTTGACGGCAAGGCCTCTGAGCTCCGAGGATGGATCACTACTTCCGAGGAGCAGCTCCGCTACCATGGTGTCGCCATGGAACTGTGGCCCGTCGAGATGTCATCCCGTTTCACAGGTCGCGCAGCCTCTACTAGGCGTGATTTCCTCGCTCTTCGATCTCAGCGGGGTGTACAGGAGGGCATGAGCTATCAGGAGTTCCGCGATTTCCTGCAACAGTACTTTTCTCGTCCTGCGCTGACCCGCGACCCGATTTTCCGGCTGGCCGAGATCATATGGCTTGGTGGCGACAATGCCCTCGAGTCATATATCACGACATTCCATCGTGTCCGCGCCCAGATCCCCGTCACCACCATACCAGAGGATCCCATGATCCAGCGATTCCGCGCAGGCCTCCCCCAGGCATTCCAACTGCAGATGATGGCCTACTCCATCTCTACGTTACCAAAGGCCTTCAACATTGCTCGGGCCATCCATCTATCTTATGCCCCACTTGTTGGCTCTTCGCCTCAGCCTCCCGCCACCTATGCTGCTGCTGCTGCAGCCCCTCGCCCCCCCCAGCCTCGACAGTCTTCCACTTTCCGTCGTGGTCCCCGCAGAGGTACCGGCCGATCGCTCGCACGCCGATTCCACGCACTGCTCCGTGACCCGTCGAGTGCAGAGGAGGGCACAGCCTCGGACGGTTCGGCGAGTGACCCAGACCAGCAGTCTGACCCTCAGTCGCCCACGGAGGACGACACCCATTCCCAAGACGATCGCTTTCTCTGGGCCCTTTCCGCTCTCTTCCGGCGACAACCCTCATCATCCAGGACTCGCTCCACGGTCGCCCAATTGCCTCTACCAGCGGGCTTTGTGTTCCCCCGCGGCCGTTTGACTATCACGGAGAGTGAGGAGCTTCGCGCACGAGGCATCTGCACCCGTTGCCGTCTCGCCGGTCACACCCCCTCTACCTGCCCGTATGCGGACGCCCTCCAGAGCGATTTTGCACAACAGGCTCGCCCTCAGGCTGTTCCCCCCGCCTCGACCTCCAGCACAGCAGCCACCTAGCCACGATGTCTCATTCCCCTGATCCTCCCACAGTAGCAGGCATTCCCGCCCGCGAGTCCACCTTCTCGCCACTTACTACTTTCTCGGAGGACTCGGACTCGACTTCCTTGTCGGTCGACCCTAGTGTTGTCGACCCACCTCCCACGCCTTCGCCTAGCGTCTCTCATGACCCCTCTCCTCCTCCTCGTCCTCCTACTAGGCGTGC